GGCATTCCTAAAAACCATGCAGTTTACACAATTTACCAAACACTGTGAAAAAAGAAATGATAATACACAGATGTCTTAAGAGAATGCTTTATATAGGGACAGTTTTTGAGTTTAATGTGTATTTTTGCTATGAAGGTGGTTTGTGCTGTACTTAAAGGAGACATGAGTTCAAGAGAGACAGTTCCAAATTACCAAAGCAAACGACTACTCATCTTATGCTTTTTGGTGACTCAGTGGCACCATGAAAAGTCATTAAGACAGAAGCAAACAATAACTGAAAGGAGCAAAACCAAACAAGCAACCTCCTTTTAGATCTAGAACTTAGATATTAGCCAGCTCGAAAACTCTCATTTTACAGGTGAAAAAACTGTGATGGCAGATTTTAAATGACTTGTTTCAAGTCACACAGCTAGTAAGTAAAAGAATTGGGTCTTAGAGGCAGGACTTTTGTCTCCAGGTTTGGAATTTTTTGTTATTCTAAAAACCACACTAAGATCGATGTCTATACACCAGAAAAACAAAGAAAAGGACAATTATCCTATGTATGTCATTACTGTTTTAAAATGTCTGTTATTTTTCATTGGAGGTATATTTGACATAACACGTTCCATGTTTTGTATGTAATCACAGGGATTACTGATGGAAGGAAGAAAATTGTGTTTCACGAGTTATGTAAAAGATCAGGCAATAAATACACAGTATGGCCTAAATTTTATCAACTTTCCTGGTCCTCAGATAATCTTCTACAGATAAATGCCACTACTGCTGATAAGAGCAAGAGATAAATAACACTGCACATTTTAAATGCCATGTACTTTGAATTTTCTACTGTGCTCTTATAAATGAATCCACAAGAGAAAAAGCAAATGCTAAATAAATACAGTGGTGGGGCTTACATTCTTGTGTTGCTGGTTTTGTTGATGATGACAGATTTCCCTGTTTGATCCACGTTGTGATCCAACCCAAAGTAAGCTGCCACTCGATGGACAAGCATCCTCTGATAGGACGACATCTGAGGAAACTTTTTATAATGATTACTGGAAAGGAATACAAGAAACAGCAGAATCAGCATATTCGTTTCTGGCCTGTAGTACATTTTAGAGGTACACAAACAAAACCATTTCTTTTTCATCCAAACCATTAAGCTTATTTCATTTCTGGCATCACGCGATGTCCTCATCTCCAGACACATTTTCCACTTACAGATGTATTGATTAAGTTACAATAAGTGTTTTTGTTTTATAGTTGCACATTTCTCAGACCACAGAGAACTTAATGTCCACTGGAAAGTGTTCTGTTTTGGTCCAGGATACCTTATCAACAGAGCCAGGCACAGGACAAATGACATGACATAATACGGGACTGCAGATGCCTATCTGGAGATATGTCATTACATGGTTGACACTGAAAGCAGTACAATTATTTCCAGGCATAACTGACTACAGCCAGCTGGCGCCCATTAAAAAACTATAATAAAAATGAAAAGGGTCGCTTCTTGTTACTGCTACTCTATGCTAATCAGTGGCCCCCTGTTTATAGCCATTTTGTCAGGAATTTAACAAGCAGGAGCACACACGGTCCAAGCAACAATTCCCATCAGCACATAGCTCCTAACTCCAACAGCATCTCTATTTAATGAGTCAGCAAACACATTAAATAATGTTTTATCTATCCCTAAAAATCTTTCCAGAATGAATAATTAAACCCAAATACCAAACTAAGACATATCAGATTAATTAACCGGCATTGGAATTTAACATACTTGTTGTCACCAATGAAATCAATAATTTCCTGCTCCATTTTCAAGAGTATCATCCTGTCTCTGCAAAATAAATGTTACAATGAAAAGGCTTTATGTACTTTCCATTCCCAAAGACTTAACAATTTCATTTATATGTATGGAAAAGATTGTTTAAATCTATGTGGCTACAAATCAGTATCTAACTCTTCTCTGGAATATGCTGTCCAAATACCTGTAATTCCATTCTGTTTAAGATTATTTCTCATCTCATTTGTTAAGTATTTTGTAATATTGAAACTCCTGTAGTTTTTAATATTAATTAAGGCATGCAAGGTATTAGGCCCATAAAACACATCAAGTAAATTTTATATTTTAAATTCATAGGAAACTGGAACAAAGCTAAGCCTAAGTAGTTGGTTCTATAGCTGTACTGAAGCATGTTTGGTTTATTTGACATTGATTCTCATCCTCTATTTTTTTCCCCTTAATCAGTATCTCTTTGTGACCGGAAAAGCAGAACTTGTAAACTGTAATTTATTCATTGGATAAGTACCCAGGAATTAAGACTATTTATAAACAGTAAACATGCAAACTATCTGCAGAAAAAAGAAAATACAAGAGACAGTTTAAGACATCAGAGAAGAAGCCTGCCTTTTACAACTCTCTTCTTAGAAGTGTTTGGATTAATGAGTTTGATTGTAATATTCTACTTGACTCTTCTAGAAATGAGAGGTTTACTTAATAATTTACCTGGAATTATTCTTTAATGTGTTAATCAGAAACTCGTGTAAGTCTATGCCTGTAGAATCCGTATATTCTTGGCTGCAATCTGAAACAAATAGCAGGATGGAGTTGTCAGAAAGGCCGATGGGGAGGTGGGGTGGAAAAGGTTTTCCCAACCTTTCCCGATCCCTTTTGCTCAGGTAAACTTTAGGTGAAGCTATTGGTGTGAAAGATACATGTTAGAAAACTAGCAACCTGGTAATATTACATCAGGATGAAAATTAGATTCGGGGACTGAGAACACCCAGTAAATTCCCAGTGTGGAAAGACCCAACTGTCATAGGAGAGGAAGTGGGCACAGTCTGGGTGGGTGGGTGGAGTCAAATGTCATGTGTTCATTCTGTGCTGTCAATCAGCGAGGGCACGACCTCCCCGTGACAGTGAGGGGTACTCCCAACCCACAGAGAGAGCTCTCAAGAGTTTGAGATACCATGGAACTCTCTTTCTCTTAAAACAGAGAAGGCAAAAACTGAAAGTTCTGTTATAAGACTGTCTAAATAATAATCAATACAAAGTATAGGAGGGCACTGAATATTTCCAAGTCTTTCAAGTCTTTTGATGCTGGCTACAGCTTAATTTCTAAAGCCATCTTAGGAAGCTGTACTTCTTTACTCTTGGATACACCTTGGTTTTAGGTGTTCAGCAGCAGAGACAATCATTATAGGCAGATATGTGGTTATAGAGCATAATATGAGAAGTAGCCGTCATTTCTCAGCTGATCAGACGCCCTATGCTCCTTCAGTTATTTAAAAAAAGAACAGTCTACTGCAAAGCTATTTATTCATGGTATTCCTCACTTCAACTTAGTTTTGTTTTTCTCTCTCTCTCTTTTTTTGGTTTTGGTTTTGTATAATTATACGTAAGGCAACAATCTGAAAAGCCCGGATTGTAGATTTGGGGTTTTAGAAGGAATAACTTTTGGGGAAGAATTTTTATTGAAGTAGGAGTGTGTAGATTTTAAATGAGACATTACGGAGCAGTACATGGGTTGCAGAGACCAAATTCATCTGTGCCAGATAAAATGTTAATATGTGTTCCACTGACATTGGTATATACATCTGTGCTTTGGGGATAACAACACTTACCACTTATCGACTGAGAATTGCTAATCCACTATCTGTTTTTTAAGGTAAACACGAAAGTCAAGATATAAAACTGGGTACTATTACTGTTCATCAATTCGAGTTAACTGGACTAATAAACCTGAATTAAGAACATATTTATATTCACTCCCTTGTACAAACTTCTCATTGAAAATAGGATATCCAAACGAATATCCAAAGAAATATGTGATCCTAAAAATAACCTTTCTAGATACACAAAAATGACACCATGAACAGAAAGAGAAAAATCAAGGTCACATCACCTTTTACACACACACATACGTACACATATAAAATTATATGCAGAATTTGGTGGGAGGTGACATGTGTGTAAAATCTATAATGTATTCTGTGACTATTTATGAGTCCAAATTAAGTTAAGGAAACATTTTCACATTCACCTTTTGATAACATTCTGATCTTGGGTTTTTCACAGGTTTTATCTTTGTTTTTATCCTTTTCTTTTTCTCTTTCAGAGTCATCTTTCCTAGATTTATCATCCTCTTGCAGGCTGGGAAAACTGGAAAGCTGTAAATGAATTGATTCCTGTTGGGGAAAAAATATAATAATTTAGGGCCAGATTTAAGAATCTCTGTCTGGTTTCCATTTTGCATAGAGATTATTAAGAACAGGAAAATGAAAGCCAGGTGCAGATTTTTTTTTTTTTCTTAAATGGTAAAAAATTAAACCTGTCAGAAAAATAATTGCCCTTTAAGGTGAATTAAACTTCAGAAGTCAATGGAAGGTCATGAGAAGTATATAGTACTAAAACTTTGCCTCATGAATATTAACCATAAGCAAGTTAAATTCCCGTAGATAACAACACTTATTTTCTCTACAGGTTTATTTTTAAACACCTAGGAAAAATTTTCTTTATCAATAAGCTTGCATCACAGCTCCTGTCATGTCTCAAAAAAAAAAAAAAAAGAGGCTTCTGCAGTTCTTTTCTATAATTCCTTGCAAGGAAAAATTGGCACAAACACAGACGGACAGATACTATGAATCATAATTACGGAAAAAACAGACATAAATAAAGGCCACGACAGCCAATTTACAATTAAAAATCTGTTTTAGAACCATATCAATAATGATTTCTATCACTATGAAAACTCAAGATATAGAATTGCAGGAATCCTAGGTATGGGTTCTTATCATACATTGTTTACAAAGGCTATTAATAAATCATCGTAATATATGGTTACAATAAGCACTGCCTTTTAGAAAAGGTAGAAAATAGGACTATATTTTCCATCAGTTATATATAAATATTTAATATTATTTTAATTCTAGCATCAGTTAATCCTTTCCAAGATGTCAGATTCTCTTGAACTGATGCTTGGCTGACCATTTACAGTATTGGGACTGGATCCACTTTTATATTTATGGATTTTTCACTGAAAACAGATCATTTTGTATTAACTCATATATCAGCCATTTGGTTGATAGTATGTTCACTGTTTTGAAGAAGAATGAGCCAAATTATGTTTTTCAGTTTTATGAAAAAACTACACTATGATTAAAACTATGACAAATGAGCCAACATTAAGCCCACTGGCTCTTATGTAAGAGATGATTTGATGGGAAAGCTTTCTTCTACTAGCGACATTAACGTTTATGATGTAGGAAAAAAATATTCCCAATGACTAATAGTGTTTCTCACTGATAACTAAACTAATGCTCCTCTACATGTGACTAAACTATGCCTTTACATCCTCAAACTACGGTCAGTCTGGGATTCTTAATGGTTCTTGGTACATCTAGCTAATCTAACAAGCAGAAAACAAAAGTCCTCCAAAGCCAAATTTCTTTTTTGGGAGGGGCTCCATTGTGTATTCCAGGCTGGAATAAAAAGTCACCATGTTTGGAAAGATGCATGATACAGAGGATGAAATAAAACACCTTCTCATGGTAAATATTTATCTTAGCCGGGTTTCCTGATATCCACATGTTTATCCTCGGGACGGACATATACAAATTATGTAAAACGGAGTGTAATTTGATTGTAAGGTCTTTTAGCACCGGACTTGGGACAGAAATGTCTCAGTCTGCAAAGATTCAGGCAGACTTCGGGGTTACGGTTTGCTTCCACTTGTTAAGGAAACAGCTGGATCATTTCTGGCTCTGAGTGGGGAAGAACTGATTCGACAGTGGATCAGGGGAGGAAAGTGATGGTACCAGGCCATGGCAGTGGTCTCATTGCTTCTTCAAAACCGATTGAACCATCCAGCCTCGGTAAGTTTGAATCTAAAATCAAAGAGGCTTGGAAATATAAATGTAAGAGCACAGGCTAAAGGACATCATTTACCAAAAATATGTACAAACTCATGCCGTGTGTTGACAAATACCATACTCAGAAACATACCTGTCTTTTCTACACATTCTGGTGTTGAAAGAACACACAAAAGTGCTATAGAGTTGGTAAAAAACAATCTGTTCTTTTTTAATATTTTTATTGATATGCTCAATAATAAAATACAAGTATTAATAAATACATCGGTACAGGATGAGTTTATATCCAACAACAGGAAAAGAATGATTCAAGTTGCAGTAATACACTGATAGGTAAATAGTATAACATTAGAAAAGCAAAACTCCTTTAACTTAAGGACAGGCTGAACCATCAGCTATGGGTCTGAGATCAAGTAATACAGGTAGCAAGAGTTTTTCCCACGCAGGAAAATGAAGGCAGTTTTCCAAATACTGTGAATATACAAACATTGGGGAAGCAATACAATCCGTATACTGTATACTTCGGCCAGTGTTCTCAGGGATTCAGTTCCCACATTTTGTTTAAGTGCCGGTAGTACCTAATGAAGGCATTGCATTCAAGCTCAAAGGTCTGCTTCTTTATTTTATAAAAAAAGTAGCACGGCCACTCACTTATTTGTGTGTCTAGCAGCCCCCTGCTTCCACCACACCTCAGCCAGTCCAAAGAGAGGCTTGCAAGCTCTAATTTCTACAAAGCTAGTCTTAGTTACTCAGCTTGGAACCAGCAGGAACAAAGCACCGTTTGCCTCTTATTTCTCTGCACCAATTGTATGGAGAACCTAGACTTAGGTCCAGGATGGGCACAATGATACAGATGATCTCTTAAAAAATTTCCTCCTGGTACTTGTCAAATAGGATAAAAAGCAGATGAAATCTATAAAGGCTGTCCTCCTCTGCCTGGCATTAGAAGTGGGGGACCACTGGGGCATTACTTCTCCCAGGGTCTGTCATTCTGCAGAGTTAACATATATTGTGTGCATTACATCACAAGCCATCAATCAATGTTGAATAATATAAGCTGTGATATTCACATTATTCCCCCTTTTCAATCTCCCTTAAAAGAAGAAGCACAAATAAAATGCTGAACAAAAGCCACATATTTCTCAGAGCCCAAGTAAAATAAAGCCTGTGTATGAAACATAGGGATGGCTACTGAAAGCTAGCCTGCCCATGCCTTACGACATGGGTGGCATATTAAGGAAATGAGGCTAGGGAAAAAAAATACTCTTAGGACAAAATCTATAAGGATTTTATTTTTGGTCCTTTTAAAGAAAGTGCTCTCAATGCTCTCTGTACCCATGAGGAGAATTTAGACTATTTTAATTAAAGTAAAAAGAGCAAAGCAAAACAAGGCCCAACAAAAATAATGCTATCTTAATCAATTTTTCCTCCTCTGGGCTCAGATAAATCATTTTACTTGTCTTGACTGCTCTCAGGCTCTGATAAAATAAGGAAAATTTTTTAGCAGCAAGACCATTTTTATAAAAGTGAATATGATGCCTGAAAGGCAAACAAAAATAAATATGATGTGAAGTTTCCCATTTTGTCACAGAGGGGTTTTGTTGGAATTTGAATTTTTAGAGCTTAATAGTCTTGCTATAAGGAGCAAAAATAGGTATAAGGATATGCAGCAATGTATTAATAATATTAACTCAAATTCACCATCATCTCAGGTTTATTTCTGGACAATTTTTCCAGTAGTGAGAAATCTCCACCAAAGGCCATAAAAGTATGTCTCCAAAGCTCAATGCACATTATTCACTATTTCTGAAGTTTCATAAAAGCCAAGATTTGTGTTTTTATAGGCAAGTGCATTTTGGGGAGGTTAAGAATCTCCAATAAGGAAGGAGATGGGATACTTGGGACTATATTTGGTTCAGTTTTATCAAGAGAGAGCCTTTGAGGAATATCAGCACGACTGTGCTTACATTTTAAGTTTTAATCTAAATTCTTTTGAATTCCTTTCCATTTGCAGTTTTCAGAGGGTCTGGAAAAAAACAAATGTAATACTTTGTGACAAACTGTTCAACTAATAATTGAATGTCTCAGAAACAGAGGATGAAGCCAGAAGACTTTTTCCTTCTTGAACTGTTTTTTGCTCCCCCAAAACACTATTTAATGCCAAATTAATACTCATGCACACAAAGGCAGATCCCATTCATGCAATGATCCATAATGACAGGGGGTATACCTGGTCCTGAAGACTTTCCCCTCCTGGTCTGGCTGAGGATTCTTCACAGACAGCAAGGCTGCGAGTCAGTTTACCTTTCCCTGCTCCTGACTGGGGAGGGAAAAGAAACGAGAAGGAGAGGAAAATAAAGAAAAAACCCCAGGAAATATCCTCAGGCTGTCGAATCATCTCCACCTTCTCTGGACATTCCCAAATCAGAGTTTTAAAAGCAAGCTTCAGATCCACTGCTCAGTGCTGTCTACAATGGCTCCAAGCATCACACCCCTGTGTTGACGGGGATGCAGTATCTACACGGGCTTAAAGCATCGGACCCCTGTGTTGATCGAGATGCAGCCGGAGGAGAATGTGAGGATGAATTTAAGGAACATGCCTAGCAAACTGTGCCCATCACACTGGAAACGTACAAAGAATGAATTGCTGCCTTTTCATGAAAGTACAAGGAGAAAAAGATAACACAAATTAATTTCTACTAAAACTGGGTTTGGAAGTGATGTGACTGAGAAGATGTTTTAAAAGTTGAAGATTGTGTCCTAAACACCAGAACCTGTTTACTTCAAGGCAGAAACTAATTAGACAGACTAAAACATTTCCCCCAAACTTGATTTAAAATGAAAAGAAAACAAGCAGCTACTTGTTTGTAAAGCACTGTCAAGTCTGCCAGGATCAAATATATACACTGCAGCTATGTGAACCCTAAATGCTCTAATTAAAAAGCCTATAGAGGGACTTCCCTGGCAGTCCAGTGGTTAAGACTTCACCTTCCAATGTAGGGGGTGCAGGTTCGTTCCCTGGTCAGGGAGCTAAGATCCCACATACCTTGTGGCCAAAAAACCAAAACATAAAACAGAATTCAATAAAGACTTTAAAAATGGTCCACATCCAAAAAAAAAAAAAAAAAAAAAAGCACATAGAGCGGGAAAGAAAGAGAGGCATCAACACGACCCCATTAAATGCAGGCAGCACCAGTGCAGCCAAGATCCACATACAGCCATGTGAATCATTGGCAAATTCTCTAACCCTGATGTTAATCCACATGCAACCATGATATCAGGTCAATGCAGAATTCCAGAACCCTACCTTGGATTTTCTTCTCTCTTGGTTCTGAGCCGCCAGTTGCCTCTGTATGTTAGAAACAAAATCAAACAAACAAACAAACAGTCCACCAACAACCAGGAGAGGGGAGGGGGGACAAGGAGAGAAAAAAGATGTCACCAGAGTTGAAAAATCAATAACAACAGCAACAAGGCATTATTACCACCAGGGAGGACTCCCCCAGCTCTTGCTTCCCCAAACTTTTGACCATTTAGCTTTTCTCATTCCCTCCTTACAGCAGCTCCTGGGGAGGGGAAAAGCCGGCCTTGAAGGCTTTTGGCCATTATGCTGTTATCAGCCTCTGCTCTCTTTTTATATAAAAAGAGTTAACATTTTTGTAGTTTGGTTTAAAGAAAATCGATACAGGTTATTTGCAAGTACAGTTTGTTTTCCTTCTACCAAATCTCCTTCTCTCATAAATCATGAGTATTTAATCATATCACTTTTTCAGTACCATCAATCACTCCCAAACTTCCCCCTACCCCTTCTAGAGCGTTCTTTCTCTCTCTCTCTCTCTGACTGGGAATTCTAGGCTTTTCTGCTAATAAGAATCGAAGCTTAGCCTGCCCAGGAAGGTCAACAGAGCTCATGTCTTTGATTTTTCTTAGTCTGTCATGAGCTGTATTCCATGGACTACAAACCCATTTTTATAACTCAGCTAGTGTAAAGCTGCCTCAGGAGAAGTCCTCCACAAGCTACTTGAGGTGATCTGGGAATTAATATGGAGAAGCTGTGGGCAAATTCAGTCATTAAATATGTTCTTTGGATTTTTTTTTTTTTTTTTCATTTCAAAGGGCATTTTGACCAGAATGCACTATTTGGTCAGAAAAAAAAGAAGACTAATAATTGGGAAAGGAGAAGGTTCGTTTTATGGACTTCCTATTTATTTTACTAGTCAAACTCTTTACAAGCAAAAAAAACCCCAAACCTTCAGAGTATCTTCAAAATGAAAGAAAGGGATGCACACAGTGGTATGAGAAATGGGATTTCTCCAGGCTCACCTGTAATTCCAGTTTCTCCTCCTCGTCCAGACTTTCGGATTTAACCACGCCATTCTCTGGAGTGGCCGTCTCCTGCTCAGGCCCGCCTTCCTCCACTATGGTCTGACTCAGGTCTCCTGGCTCAGACATTCTCCCAGATGCAAATTAAAATAACAAGATTTGACACCCTACAAGGTTAAGACATCAGAAAGTAATGTCAGCACAGGGTGAAGTCTTAACCATTATTCTTGAGATATTTGATTTTTCCCTTTGTACTCAAATTCAAATAAGCAACTCCAGCCTCCCTGACAATTTTATACAAAAGGAGAATAAAACAAGATCGAATCAAGTACCCAAGACAAACACAAAGAGGCAGATTCAGTTGCCCTGTCCACGCCCCTCCAAACACATACACATGCTCTTGTGAATACACCTTGCCGTCAAGGTGGGTCAATACATCTTAAAATGAGACGTGTAAGTCCCACACGTCTCCCGGTCCCTATGCTCCTCTACAAAGTAGAAGCAAAAGAAGAAGAGAGTATCTCCCCAACTCTTCCTCCACTTCTGAGTCGGGAGGTGGTACTTGGTTCTGCAGCATCTCTATGATGACTCATAAATCATTTGCAAATTTCAACCACAGACATACCTTCCTGGGTATAAGGGATTCAGTACACTCTACAAGGGGCAGAAGTCAATGTAAGAGGTAATAGTTCAGTATACGCATAGGATCTAAATTTGGCAATAAACCTTTCAGGGACAACAGTTTCAGGCTTCAAAGTGACAGTGACATTGTTAAAAGCAGAAGCCCTCCCCAAGCCCTGTCGGTGGCTGATGCTGCAGAGATTCTGCAGAAGGAAGCTATCACAACTGAACTCCGATGCTCCAGGCTCACGAGAGACGACTACACAGACACTGGAAACGGCTTTTCAAAGTGTAAGCCTGTTATTAGTACTTTTTTCTCCCTTCTTCCATAAAGCCCTGACACTTCCCCTTCTGATGTGCTGTCAAAGGGGGCTCCTGAATAATTTAGCATTTACTTCCTCCTCAATTTTTTTTTAAGAAAAACAAGAAAGAAGGAGAGAAAAGAAGGAATGAGGAAAAGAAAGAAGAAAAGAGAGGAAGGAAGGAGAAAGAAAAATAGAGAAAGACCTTGTAGCCTAGAAAGTCAGTTTTTTCACAAAAATTCCCAAGTAATGACTGCCCTGTTCCTAGTCATTACAATGGTAACTATTACTGGACAAATCAGTGTCTTGATATGTTTCTCTGGGAGTGTTTATCATTTACTAGTTCAGTAACTTTATTTCCAACTGGACATAGGAAGCACGAGAAAAATCTAAAACGCAGTAATTTCTGTTGCAAATTTGCTAAGACCTATCATGACAGGACAAGCTCACTTGGCAAAGGATTGTGGGAAGGGAAAAGGAAGTTTTCCTCAAGGATGGTACTTGGGAGTCTGTGAGGGCCTGGTGAGCAAGGCTCTTAGGTTTGGGGAGGTTTGAGGATATCCATTCAGTGTATCTGACAGATCTCTTATATTTCAGTGACACCGGGGATGTGTGTAGTTAACCAAACAAAAAGTTCTGTTTCCCAGCAGCAAATAGTTTATTTCTCAATGTACTGAGTGGGGGGAGGAGATGGGACTTCTGTTGCCCTAACTTTTTTTCCAGAGGGTTTCAATAAAAAAGAGATTGTGGCCAGCTTTAAAAAAAAAAAAAAAAAGAACAAACTGAGCTCTAATTTTACAAACACTAAGGCAGTTGAATTCCTGATACGGATCCTGTCTGTTTTGGTTGCCTTTCATGAACTGTTTTATGCAAACAGGCATATTTATAGAATGAGAAAAATATACAGATGAGATGACAGCCATCTGATGACAGCCCTTTACCTTTTGCGCAGAATTTCTGCTGTCGGTCTTGGCGACTTACGAGCGGCTTCTGTCCTTCTACGCCGGGAAAATCCACACGAGGGATCAGAGACAACGGGAGTCCCATGTCCCCATTAACAGTTCAAAACGCCCATCTCCGTGCGATTCCCTTACACAGGCTGACACATCATCCACCTGAAAAAAGACGAAAAGTCAATAGTCACAATAACTGCAATAACCATGGTAAGGGTGAGGGACGAAATAAACAAGACTGGGTTTCTAACACTAATGACCGGCCTCCAGCAAATCACGTTCACGGCTTGATCCACTCCACCTGTCCCGAGCTGCCTGCTTCTTCTCTAATGAAGGCTACAGCCGGCTGTTCAAGTCAGAGCGGCACCCACGCAACGAGCTAAAATTAACAATTGCATTATGCACCGAAGATTACTCACTTCAATTTTAACCTTTTTTAGTGAAATCTCGCACTTTATATTAAAAAAAAAAAAAAAACAAGCTTGTGTGTTTGCCTCAATGACAATCCAGATCACCTATGAGCAAAAGTCTTGCCTCCGTTTTTAACCAAAGCTTTTGTCTTAATTATAGATCAATATAATCTACTTGAGTGCTGTTCCTGTGACTCTTTTCTTCTGAAAGTTATCCTAAGAAGGCTGAAAGATTTTTGACTTAATGAGGCATTAGCTATAAAAGTGAAAAAAACAAAGAAAGGAAAAAGAAAACTTTCACAGTGGTATTGTTGAGAGAGCTCTTTCCTCTCCACTGACAGTTTGAGAAGAGCTCCGAATATTCTCTTTGCTGTGTGAGCATCATTTACCCGCCACCTACTGGCCCCTCCCAGTCAGGACTGCCACCGTCAGCTGGGCATTCTGTTTGACAGCAAAGCAACACTGTCAGAGGGATTCAACAGATTTGCAAACTTTGAGCCTGTTGAAAACAATCCCTGCTATAACGTGCACTTTCTTTTTCTCACAACTCCTACAGGAGCAGCGGCAAATACAGCTTGAATGCAAAGAGACAGACAGATTCCCAATAACGTTTGCCAAAACCAAGCTGTATCTCTCTCCCTTTGCTGCAACTCTACCCTGGCGCACATCTGCTAAATCCAACAGCCTGTGCACGTGTTCCACCATATACCCGACTTTGAAAACACTAAATGCATCTCAGTTATTTACGCTGAAGTTTAGAAACCCTCTCTGCCTCCCCATCGCTGCCCCCTCCCAAGTTGACAGGAGCACAGCTGGCTCCTCATCGGATTTTATTGCAGCTTTATCAACAGCCTATTGGGTTACGACACCATTTGCTGTGTAAGAGGAAAACAACTGTTGAAAATTCAATCGCTTATACAATCAATCATTTCTAGCTTTATTTATGTCTTATTAAAATGGATACTTTGGCTGTAAAAAGTGTTTCTTTTGTCGCTAAAAATTATATAACTATGGCGAAGGAAACATGAATTTAGGGATCAAATGCGTTGCTCATCAACAGTAATTTTAATTTCTCATTTTTTATCATTTTCACATAATGAAAACTTGATACTAAATAGAAGTCAACACGCCTTAAAATTAGGATCTATTTAAGTAACCAGCTCAATATCTAACATGTCTTAGAATAGGCACCTGTGATGGATGGATTTACCAAATGCTTTTTGGATTCTGTTTTCCTTTTCCCAAAGAAAATGAAGTTATCAACGATCACCACAGCCTTCCTGTCTCCTTCTTCTGATGCTCCTATTTGTACAGTGGTGGTTAATCCAGCCGGTGAAATGGCCATGCAGTTTTCAAATCTAAGCCTTAGATGCCTTATTCCAGCCCCAGTAGGTGGATGCAAGATATAATTCTTTCCACGAAGAAAGAACAAACTGATATTCACGTAACCATCTCAAAGCGTGAACAGCCTGGATATGTGTGCGTGCGTAATTACCAGGACACGTTTGGAAATAGCACTGTGCTCTAAAGCCAGCGAGGTATTATTCTTGCATCCCTGAATCATAAAGTCATCATCCACCAAGATAAAAGAGAATATGGGCATATGGGAATGAGCAGGGAGGAACATATGGATCACAAATATTTTTGTAACTGATTAAAACTGTTCTCTTTGCTAAGAAAGCAGTGCCAGGAAATCAACCCTAGTCCAGCTTTCTGTTCCCCAAACTAACGCGACTCTTCCACTGCTATTTAATCTTCATTTGTCCCAATTTCTCCCATTTTTCACAAAGAAGCAAAACCATGTCTAACAAATATGTTTTACCCAACATTTGGTTAATGGATATCCTGGCCAAGTGTCAATTGTTATGGTTGGAGGTGGGGAGGGAAAAAAAAAAAGAGACTCTATACAAATGCACAAAATAAAAGTCACTGCAGTTCTTTCAGTGGAAATAATATTTTAACCACGGTTTAGGGGGTGATATTGAGGAAAGGCAGGCAATAAGTAAGCTATAGGAAATTGATCAATGGTGTTGTCAGCTATTTACAATGAGGAAAATGAGTAAAATAATGACCATTTTAGATTATGTTGTTTCTTATTTTTGGGGCTGACTTTAGAGTTGCATATAGTAGCAACTGGGTTTGTGGGAATGAGAAAAAGAGGGCGAGAGGAGAGAAGCGCCGTGCAGAAGACCAAATATTCTGTCTTTCATCATCACCAACAAAATAGGCATGTCCTAATTGTGTGCACACATGCGTGTGTGTGTGTGTTACATATATGAATCACTGGGCTGTCATGTGGAGAAAGAAAGCTTGGGGTTTAATTCAAATTCCAGCAGTGATTTAGTTCTCAGAGGATATCTAAAATGAGACATTAAATTCTATTAGCAAGTTGGGAGGGCCACTTTATTAGTCACTTTTGTCATAACCCTTCTACTCAAAATTAGCAGAGGATGACTAATCTTATCCTCAATCAGTATAGGTACTTTATGATGAGACAACACAATCAAGATTTACTTATTTGAACAACTGCAATGTTTTTCCCTTATGCAACTGTCCCTTCTTCTTTTAGCTAGTCACAGTTCTGCAAATGTAAGCCACTAGCAAATTGTGATATTAGTGATCTGTCAATTTGCTGCATAAGGTATTTAAATGCTGCAACCCCTTATCAACCAAAGATACACCCTAGTCTCAAAACAGTTATTCTGTTAAAGTTAAAAGAGTTAGTTTGAACATGTAAGATTAAGTTTAAAGACTTAAAAAACAAAAAAAAAAGAGAGAAGAAAAGTAATTGGAGGGCTTCCCTAGTGGCTCTGCAACAAGAGAGGCCACCGGAATGAGAGGCCTGCGCACTGCCACGAAGAGTAGCCCCTGCTCGCCACAACTAGAGAAAGCCTGCACGCAGCAACAAAGACCCAAAATGCAGCCAGAAAGAAAGGAAGGAAGGAAGGAAGGAAGGAAGGAAGGAAGGAAGGAAGGAAGAAAGAAAGAAAGAAAGAAAGAAAGAAAGAAAGAAAGAAAGAAAGAAAGAAAGAAAGAAAAGAGAATTAATTGGAATGTAATCCTTTCAGAAATGAGAGCAACCATGGCATCATGGCATGAATAGAAGATACGGACTAATACCTTCAGCAAGCTTGAAAATTTCCCCAGGTAACAGAAAAACATCAATAAGAGAATTTCACATAAGTTTACTTTCCAAAGAAAAATGTCTCCTTCAATCCATGTATAAGAAGTACTCAACCAGGAGTTCTACCCTTTCATTAAACTTTTTTTGGTCAACTCAATGCACAGGCATTCTGTAAAATTCTTGAACCACCATGCAAATGCCAAAGTGATCAGACAACTGTTTTGGAGGAAGAACCTAGGAGGATATTTAAGAAAAGGAATTTTCATACTAGGGGTTTAAAGGTAGAAGTATTTTACATGAATATTCTTATTTCAACTTTGATAGCTAGGCAGTTTATAAACATACAGTAGCTCATATGTAGAACATCACTTTTTCTTCCTTATTATTATAGCAAATTGGACACAAACATAACCTACATCAACATTTAGCAGACTTCAGTAACGGAAAAAACTGATGTCAAAGCTTTGAACATAAGAACAGCCCCACAATAATCACAAGTGTCTTTAAAAATAAGAGAGGGCTGATCTCGGTAAAAACATCTGAAGGAAAAAGGCCAATGTTTCAATTCTTCACTTTTATAACAACTGTTTACGGAATCTCTACCACCTGCAAGGATGCTGTAACACAATCTCAAAAAATCCTCTTTTTTTTTTCAAAAAAATAAAATAAGATAAAAGTTAAATAATTCTAATGGATCCACATGAAAAAGTTTAAAGACGGGTTAAACAGTTTTATCTTCATCATCCTTTTCTTGACTATTCATGAACTGGGAAACAAAGATGACTTCTGCTTTTATAATTCTTAAATGTTTTCTCAGTGTATTTCAAAGAAAGACATAAACTTGGGAGAAGTAAATAATGTACTGGGTCCCATAATAAATATTTGGATATCCCCGGAACTAACTGATGAAAGTAATAAAGTGAAATGTAGCAGGACAAAAGATCTTACATTTGGGTTCTAAAAAATAGTTGCATAATTTGCAATTTTTAGTTTAGACAAGAGAAGACTTAGGGAGGACAAAATAGCTATTTTCTAACGCTATTTTAAAACATATTCAGAGAACAAGGAATTGGCCTTACTTGGTGTTGCTTCAAAAGTTAGCACTAGGGAAAAAAAAAAAGAACCTACCTTTCTAAACATAGAACTACCATATGACCCAGTAATTCAACTCCAAAATATACATCCAAAAGAATGGAAAGCAGGGACTAGAACAGATATTTGTACACCAATGTTCATGGCAGCATTATTCACAATGGCCAAAAGGTATCCATCAGCAGATGAATGAATAAACAAAATGTGGTATATACATACAATGGAATATTATTCAGCCTTAAAAAGGAATGGAATTCTGATACATGTTACAACATGTATGGACTTTAAAAATATTATTCTTAGTAAAATAAGTCAGACACAGAAGAACAAAGATGGTATGATTCTGCTTATATGAAGTACCTAGAACAGGCAAATTTATAGAGACAGAAAGTAGAAAGGAGGCTACCAGGAGCTGGAGGTAAGGAAGAAAGGAGTTGTTGTTTAATTGGTTTTTGTTAAGGATGATTAAAAAGTTGTGGGGGAAAAAAAAAAAAAGTTGTGGGTACAGACGTGATGGTTACACAGTTTAATGCCACTT